TAGGGAATCCTCCCAAATACTGCAACGCATTTTTCTATCTCCACTACACATCGGCTGAGTATTAGCTTTTACCATTACAAAATATAAAAAAGAGACCTAACCCTTATATTTAATGTTTATGCTAAATATATTAAATTTATAATGATTCCCACAGCAACTAATAGTGAAAACAATTATTATCGTTTACTTTATTGCAGAAAAGTTGTCACGATTCTAGCTCCATTTGTCGGTAGATCGATTAAATTCATGGACCTAGCCTATTGAGCCGCATGAGAGAAAAAAGAAATAAAAAAAAGAGGGAAATGCGAACCAAAAAAAACACAAAAGGAACCTGAAGAGAGAGAGAGAGAAAGAAATAAGAAAAACGGTGTGAGTCCGTTCTTGGAGTCGGTGGTCTGCAGTTCGTTCGTCCGGAGTTAGTTCGTCTGTATTTGTCCTATGTCCCCTTACAGTCCCCCACGCGTGCACCCCCTCATCACACTCCTGCTACAGCAGTAGTATGTTCAACCTTAGCCACTCGTTGCGGCTCACATGTAAACCAGAACAATAAAAAGGGAGGTAAATACCTGACCATCGTCAGCAGTTGAAGCAGCAGATCCAGTGGCGAAGTCGTTGGTGATGTTGCTTTTTGTCCAGCCGAACAGAACCGCTGCGCCTCCTTATTCTCCCTTCATTGAGCACCTTCTTCAGTGGTAGCAACGGCGAATGGGGTGGTCATAAGCAGACTATTCTTTGGTTAAACCGAGTTTTGTTTTTGTTTGCTCCAGAATTAATCCATTAACAATTTTTCTCACGTCATGTATTTTCACATTTTTCGTGCCTTGGGAATCGAATTAATTTCTTTGGGATCTTCCACTACTTCAATCCGTAGCAATAAAAACTGCATATATTTTATTTCCACTGTTTATCGATTTATTATAAATTTTGAAAATTTTACAAAGCACATTTTTCACATTTCTCGCATTAGATGCTTAGAAAACCTCTTTCATTTATTTAGACAACAAAAAAAATTACTGTTTTTCCATTCATTTGGTTTTTCCTTTGTTCCAGTTATGTTTTTCGTTAATGCTATAAGAGCTTTTATATGTAGAACAAAAGGTTCACTTATTGCTGTTAGTTGTATTTAAGTGTATGTATATTTAACTTATTTATGTGTCTATATGTATATGTATGTAATATTTTTTTCTTTCATCGCGTACTTAGGTAATTCATTTTATGGCTGAATAATGGTTACAAAAGCCATCTAACGGTTGCACTACTTATACACATCCACACATATCATTTTTTCTCTTTTTTCCTTTTTTTTCTATAAGGACTTCCAACCGAAAGCGGTACTTTCAACTGAACCGGTATGCATGACAACCGCTTATCGATTGCGAAACCAAACGCACCATGTTAAATTGCCAATCCTAACATTTACTAGTTTTCATTTGTTTATTTTTTTATTCAAACAAAAAAGGTAGGGAATCTTCAAGTTTTTCTTTCTTTTTGAAAGTTTTCTTTAATACACGCCACTACTTTTTAACGTCACTTAACGCGTTTCTTTAGCCTTCTGATCGTTGTTGTTTCGTTCACCCTTTGTAAATGGATTACCCGTACAAGAAGAAATCTAACTAACTCAGCTTTTTTGGTTTAAAATATTTTTCGGATTCAACTTTCGTTTCAATTTCCCTTTATTCCGTGCACAAATGTCTTAATGTTCCTGCTTTAATTGTGAATTCCGATTTTTGTCGATTCCACCATAGACTTTTAACGCGTTTTACAAAAATATAATAATTTTCGTTTTGAAAAACTTCCATTTGTGTTGCCTTTAAGGTTTAGAAATGTTATATCATCAAAATTTGTGCAACACTTTCACTTCTTTTCATCGTAATTATTTATATAAAAAACTTGTTCATATCCATAGTAATATTGGTGTATGTTTTACTAGTAGACTTTGATCACTTTTTTTTTCAATGTTAACAACTTTGCATTCATTACTACTCGACTCCTCTCCTGCAGATCAAAAAACTGACCCACTAACCTCAGACAAAACAATCAACACAAAACCTACTCTTTTTGCAAGATTTCTTCTTTTCGGCCGGCGTTTCTCAAGGAGTGAAAGATTTAATGAAAAGCATAAATTGTGGACCTTAAGGTTATCACTAAATTGACGCTAGCTTAGAGCGTTGTACTTCAACATTTCAACCCAAAAATCACCTTAACTGCATTCTGAACATCAAGAAGCGTAATATTAAGTCGCAGGACTTCTCTAAAGCTAACACGCAGTTATTGAAACGTCTCTTCACGTGCCGTCGTTGTGGACTACTGTTGTGAACATGGCAAAAAAATCCCGTCAGGTAATGCATGTTTCACATAATTTTGGTATTTTCAACTCCGGCAATCTTAGTCCGCGACAAGTGTTTATTGTCCAGCGCCCGTTTATTAATCGTCTTCTGTAACATGTCAGTCTCACACTTAGCAGGTGTGTTCATCCGTTACGACTACAGTCCGTCCTCCCATGATACAATTTCCTTTATCTATCATAACATCATATATCTCTTCCTTCAACTCCAAACTCTAAAACTATTTCTCCGCGCTGGTACATCTTTTTCTCCACACCACGCCATCTTTCCTTCTTTGCTTTTTTATTCCTACCAAATATAATTTCGCTAATAGACACGGTTCGTTTAGTTTAATTTTTCATTTCACTTTCTACAGCTTTTTTTGATCAAAAATCTTCACAAATTCACATGAATGCTTATATAGTATGGTTTAGATTTTAGTTTTTACAACTTTTAAAAATTATTTTATGAAATTCCCTGAATAAAATGTGTAAAACATATCTCACTTTTTCGTCATTTTTCCTGCGTTCCCCCTTTTTTGTTTCTCTGCTTGGTAAAAACAAGAAAAGAAATGTCCCGAAAGCCCCTCTAAATTCTCCCGAACGTCAAGCATGCTTTTCATGGGTGACATAAATAATTCCCATACCAGAAGAAGAAGAAGAATGAATGAATGCGAAAACCATCGTGGTGGTTACGCGAGATTCGGCCCTCGCCGAATATAACTTTTTTACTTGTTTTTAAGTGTTTACTCTACATATTTACTCTACAAGGGAAGAACAAATACTTTTCGTCCGGCTTGATCGGATAATTAGTTATCTTTTTTATACTGGACGTTATCTGCGGGGATACTTGCAATTGCTTACTTAAAATAAACACCTGCTTTAGGATTCATTACGAAAGGATTAGGATTTGTCCGTTTCGCTATAGGAAAATATAACTTCCGTTGTTGTTTATAACGATTACGATGTAATATTGTATTCATTATCAATGCAATGATTAAAATAATATTCAATTCCATCCTTATCCGCCTGAGTTGCCGAAGGCGAGGAATCTTGATTAGCAAGTCAATGGTCGTGGGTTCTCGAATCTCAAGTGCGGTAGAGTTTTTACTAAAAGCCGATAGCCTTAAATATGCTTAGTGCTTTTAAGAGTTTAGTCTTAGAATTTATTTCTCCGGCGAAATTAATAATAATAATAATAATTCCATCCTTGAAACGTTTGGCCTTAATTAGGAGCTTGGAATGAATACAGTGGCACAATTGAAATAAATGATCATAAAATATAACTGTGAACTTGACTGCATTATAAAATTAAAATAAGTACAGAAGTGATGGCGACATGAATTATGCCAACTTACAAAAAACATCTCGAAGATAATGTTGCTAATAGGATATCAAAATGAATTGAGTTCTTTGTACTATAAATGACAAAGTTTCAAAATTTCATATAAAAGTTTATAATGGCGCCTTTAATTAAAGTGATATACTTATTCGTTTTCTACGCACGACATATATTTGGGCTATGCAGATGCAAATATATATATTCTTCTTTTTTTTTCTCTTTTTAGAAATTCTTCGAGTGGCAAACGTTACTTAAGTAATGATTGCATTGGTATTTATAGACGGTACCAATTGCGTAATGAACAGGTTCGTGATAATGATGAAAGTTAAAATAAACGACAAGAGATTCGAATAAATTTACTTTCTGTGGCGGAGTTGAAAAGCTAAAAGGAAAGGCTAAGTATACTTAGCCTAATCCACACACATACGCACACACACGCATATCTTAAATGAAATGCCTATATCAACATCAATGGCCCTTATACGGAACAAAATATAGTTATATATATTTTAGTCTTCAGATTTTTCGATTTCGTCTTACTAAGACAAGTTGCCCTTATTATAGAAGCCGTAATACTGACGTTAAATAACCGTAACGGAACATACAACATTTTTTTTGCAATTTCTACAATATAGTTAATGAATTACGAATTTCTTCACGTAGACATGCCCTTATTCCAATGAAAATTTTCGTGCTTTGCAATGTTCTTATTATAACGCCACGGATTTCCAGGGACACATTAGTGTTACCGAATATATATAAATAATTGGTTGACAAAATTACCAATATTATCAAGTTTTCGGTTTCTAAAGAGAATGTGAGCTATGTTTTGAATAAATTAGCCAAGCAAGGAGCAATATTCATTAAACGTGTTAATATAGGCGGCAAAATGGGCTGCGAAGTTATATCATTGGAATCTAAAATACTGCTGGATCTCTACAAGAATTTCATTAATGACAATTTCGATCTCAATGAGGAGATGAAAAGGAAATATAAAAAACTGTGTAAGTTTTACTAATGTATAATATAAAAGTAAAAAGGAAATTGTATATGTATATATGTGAAAAGTTGAGCACGATTTGCTCGAAGACAGTGTAAGCAACAACAAGTCCATTGACAATGATGACAATGACGAGCAAAAAGATATGAATGCCAATAATGATTCAGACGATCTTATGATGCGTAAAAAATTTATTACAAAATTTATAGTTATTGAAGAATTTTGTTAAAATAACGTTTTACGTTACTAACGTTAGTAACGAAACCAAGCCCGCTAATCTCATTTATTGCTTATACCCTTTCTTTAGATATTGTTGCTTCGGCTTGGTTTGTCCTTCTGTCAGCCTTATTAATTTGGTGCAGGAAAACAAATCAACTTGCAAGTGCAGAAGCTACACCATTTCTGGTTTCTTCGCTTATTTGAGTAAATTGGGAGAGCTCTACCGTAACCTCGACGTCCGAGTTCCAGGTTTTGAAGAAATGAAATCCCCAATTTCGAAATCTTTTACTTTATGGTGTATGCAAATGTTGCGGAGCGCCGCGCAAACGGTTACGAATTTTCCCATTGTGCCTGCTCTTCCGATCTTCCATGAAAATGCGCCAACGACCTTAGAAATTGAATAGAGACTTAACTTATAGATTATATATAATAGTATAGCACACCTTTATATAAATCGATACATCTGTTCACAATGCTTCTGGCCTGAGGATGAATGTCGTTATATTTCCCTATTGGGTCGACTGCATTTTTATACGGCGTCATTAACCATGGTTCCAAAGGGTATCCGCTACCACCTGAAAGATTTTGAATAATACAGTTACGTAGTGCTTCACATTATCTTGCTGCCTACCAAGGAGCCAACCATTACTTTCATATTGTTGTTGTATAATTACCAGGCGTTCTTGAAAACTGAAAAAATATAATTTTTTTTTCAAATTTTTTACATCTTTTCCTAAATAATTTAATATTTTTCCTGCGTAATTTTATAAATGCTATTTATCTATTGCCTCTTGCTTGTAGTTTCCAAAGATTGTCATTTGGATGGAATTACAAAATTCGGAAACAACGTAGCGACACTTTTATAGTAAACAAATTTAATTCTTCACTTACTGTGATCCTTTTTACCTATATCACATAAATTAGTGGTCAGAGTTTTCTTTTCTGTCAAAAGTCGACGTTTATGCGATTCTTTATCCGTGTCTAAAAAGAGAGGATAAGATAGAATTTTATATCTGGCTTCAGCTGATAAGTAGACAGACAGAATATTTGTATTAATATTTCGATGAGTTTTCTGATGACCATTTTTCAATAATTAGCAAACGCAATGTCAAATTGCCCATCCTCTGGTGGTTATAACAAGTTCAGTGAAAAACTGAAAACACATTGTTCCAATACGCATGTGTATGCTTACAGCCGCTTTCGCTGATATTAATATTGAATTCACCGGCTGTTTCCATTCCTATTCGTTGCAATAACTTAGCTTCTGTGTCCGATAACGTGTATAACGGGTGAATCCATCAAATACAATTTGTCACCATTTTCGGATATCCATGGGAATTCACCCTTATAGAGCTAGAAGATTTTTTAAAAAATATATTAAATATTAATTGAATAAAAAGAAATAAATCATTATAGCGGACCCCGGTTCACCATTATATTCCCTACAGCAATCTACTGCTATTGATATTAAGACTTTTTATAATAAAGCGTGATAAGGGAGGTGGGTGGTCGAGAAAGCGGTTCGGTCCAAAACATTTTCAATGGGATTTATCCTTGGACAGAAAAATTTTTAAAATTTTTGTTTTGCTTCAGCTGCTTGCAAGTAAACTAATTTTGTTTGGAATTTTTTTTCGCTTTTATTTACAGCTTTTCTCTTTTATAAAATCAAGACGTGAACTATGTAACTTACGTTGGACTTCACAGATATGAGCAAGACTTTCCTACTCCTGTTGGGCATACATGTAGCAAAAAAACTCGAAAGTCGAAAATGAACATCACACATAACTAGTGCTTAGAATGGAAAAGCGATTCGTAGAATATCTTATGTCGGCTCTTATATTTTATGATGAAAGCACAAATCGTTTGTTATTGCGAGCGTAATGAGAACTAGTTTGCTTACGTCCGATGCGACGAATTAAGTATGACAGATGCCAATTGTGTTATTTATTACTCTGACTGGAATTTTGTTAAGGAAACTGATAAAGTTCTGAGGAATTATTCATCTTTTGTCGTTATAAATATTAATCAAAACCCTTACGTCATACCAATTGGATAAAAGCTTGACCACATAGTGCCATCGTGGCGCTTTCCTGAAGCCCTTTAAACTGATCTAGACATCTTTAAGAAACAAACACTCAACACAATCTTTTTCTCACCATGTTATATCAATTAATTTAGATTACGCTCAACTATCAAGTGGGGATGCCTATTATTGAGTAATGAAAGTGTAACGGAAAATTTTTAAGGGAACATTCAATTCCTTTGCGCCGTACAAACAATGGTCAATTGCAGATGGTGACTTTGGAATTTTCTTCGCAGTAATAATCTTTTTCACGTCATCACCGAGAATAGATTTGTTTGAATTAAGAAGCTTGGGGACTATTTTAGCTTTTAACTCATACAGACTATTTTCTAAAGTTGGGAGAGCAGTTTCCATTATAATGTTATTTATGGGCGTCGTCCGAAAAGCATAACAACTTGCTCTGACGGCTTGGTGATAGACCGGTTTAAGGATGTTGATATTAAATTTGCAGCTATTGCCATAAATTATCAAAGCATAGTCAATCTTGCTTAACACAAGCATTTTGGTGAGATAAGCAATAGTGTTAATATGCGCATGGCTTCTCCAAGCAACGTACTGTATGAAATTCACCCTTGTTAAAATAGAATTTTTTAACCGAAGACAGTGTGCTTTCTAACGATGCTTGTTGGAAAAAATGAGCCCGAGAAAATGCAGCGTCTGCACGTTTAGTACTGGTAAGCCATTAATATGCATCCGTAGATTTCCTGCATCGCAAATCTGCTTTCGGCAAATCTGCATTTTTTTAGATTTTTGTATGGAAATTTTAGCCCCTGACGAGTTTGCCCATGCGGAGATCTCTCGTCCAATAGATTCGAGGATGTTGATTGCTTTCGTGTTGTCTTTTTCTTCTGTAAAAACGAATACATCGTCCGCGTAAACACAATGTTCCACTCTTGGTACACGGTAAAGAATTTTGCCAACTTCGTTGAAGACGATCTGGAAAAGCATGACAGAGAGAGGAGATCCTTGCGGAATGCCATTCATTAGCGGAAAGGAATCCGAAAGATCGTTGTTGATTCTTGAACATGAATGATCTGATGTAGTTGAAGAATTTGGGGCCAACATTCCATGGTTTCAAGAGACTTAAAATAACATGAAGACCAATTCTGTCATCATCCCTGAAGGACTGGGGAACATCTTTTTTTACAGACGAATGACCAACCAGAGACAAACCGTTGGCCCAGAGAGTCAAGGCAGCTATGACACGAGCAACGCATCCGTTTGTTTTTTTGTAGTAAATCGCGATCTCCAACCACGTGTGCATCAAACCGGCCATGAACGCTTCAATTGTATCACAGCCGCCTCAGTAAACCGCGATAGTACAAGGAAAAATCTCCAACCACGTGTGCATCAAACCGTTCATAAACGCTTCAATTGAGCCATAACCGCCTAAGTAATCCGCGATAGTACGAGAAATGGTAAACCTCTAGCCACGTGTGCGTCAAATCATTCGCCGGCTCGCCTCGCTGGTTCCTTGCCAACCCTCTACAAAACCACTTGTAATCTCGCATACCAATAAAAGAATATATAAGAACATCCCCGAAGGTCCGGAACATTTTGTTTCATATACATTATCTTGCAACGAACCTTGGAGTGGCTGAGTTTCTACCCTGCCCAAGAAGACTCGTTACACTATCCTACAGTAATTTTCTGTTTTGATTTGTAGGATTTCACGCATTTGTATAAAACGTGGGCATTGTTTGTCTAACGCTGAGTGTTGATCGTTGCAATTTAAGGAGAAGCTACGCGTACAGTTTTCAGGATGTGGAGGAAGTCAACAGTTAGCACAGGATGGAGGAATGGTGCATCTTTTTGCCGTTTGGCCCAGGCGTTGGCAGTTTTTACACCTCATGGGATTTGGAATGCAGAGTTCTACTTTACATTTGTACCAAGCTACATCAACCGTTGCCGGTAGCCGGTAGCGGTCAAAAGACAAATTAATTCTTCCTGTAAGAAAGCGGGTTTTCCATCGTCATTTAATTTGGTGAATTTGTAGACTTCAGTCACTCCTTGACTGCCCATTTCGCGCACAAGTTCATCTTCCGGCACATGCTTTAAGCATGGGGCATAAACTACGCTTTTAACCGAGTTCAGTTTGTCATGCAGTTTAGCGGATATAACGCACAAATTGGCTAATGATTTAGACTTTATGAGCTTTTCGGTTGCGCTCGGTTTCCCAGCCAGGACAAGTAAATTTCCATCGCGTAAAATCGATAGAGAGTCTATATGCGTTGTAATGCAATCTAGTGCTTTTTTAATAGCGAAAGGACTGAATTGCGAAATTGTTATGGAGGGATCAGTAGGAGATATCACAACAAATTTTTTGTCGATACTACTACGATGCTACTGGTTGGCAACACTGGAAATTCGGAATTTTTAATTTTTTTTTTTAAACGGATACGTCTGCTAATAGATGAAATATATTTAAGTTTATATCAGGCGGCCCCGGGGCAATTATGCCTTATGGTTGTCTCTTATTTAATAAATTGGGAAATAACCACTCACTTGAAAAGGTTTGGGAACTGCTGAGGATAATGACAATTGTTTTCAATATTCTATTTTTCTTTTATATTTTTTGATTTTTTTATTATATTTGCAGAAAAAGAAAGCAAATATCGTATCTGCGGCAATCATTTTTTGCAAAAGCACAGAGAACACACGAGTTAAACAAACAAAAACGCCGAAAAACACCGAAAACAATTAAAAAATCGCAGACGAAAAACAAAACACGCACTACTCAGAACACAAGTCGATAACGTATCTGTTCTTATAATCCATGAGTTAATTAACTTCATGTGTTATTAAGGTATGACTTCGGCACTGCCGGAACAGTGCAGATAGTTCTTTTCTTATGGCTTGTATTGAGTGTAACAAGGTTATGAGCGTCGTTCAAATTCATGCATGCAACAAATTAACAACACAATTCAAGTCACAACTAAATTTTATGAGCCGAAATCCCCTAAGTGGGCGGACAGGAGTTAAAGTTAATTTCATTTAACAGTGCTGGTATATCTATAGCATTATTCTCCGACTGAACTTAAGTTTCTCCATTGAAAGTAGAGCGATTATATAATAATCTGTTTTAATATGATGGTAATGAAGCGTAACGATGTGACGGCAAATTGCTTAAGGCAAAAAGTAGTAATTGCTTATGAAGTGATTCCATAGCGTCTAGGTGGCAACTATAGCACGAAGATCATGCGGCAGAAGCGTACTCAAGTGTAGGTCGATAAATATAAGTTTTTTGCGAAGTATGAATTCTAAAATTCCCTCGAGCAGCTTTCTATCTTTATTAATAAAGAGTTCAATCTGTAAATTAAGTTAGGGCTGATTATCATCCCAGTTCGAGAACGTTTCTACGTCCTGCCGTTTATGTGACTCGATGAAGTATTCTCTTATGTGCAAACTTCTTCTTAAGAACGACAGTTTTTTCGTTAGTTATTTAACTTTAAAGCCAAGAAATTGATTGAGGACCTGCAAAGTGTAACTGGGAAGACAAGAAAACATTAAATTGTCTAAAACTGTTGACAACGTATTATCTAGAAAAGCTTATAAGTTTGAATAGCCAACACGCGCCGTCTGATATTAGTTTGTTCGGTACTTACTAGGGGCGCTAATCACGTTCGCCGGTTATACCGCAGACAGTTACAAGCAAAAAGAATTTACCAGTCATTACTACCATATCGAAAAAGAGGACGAACAAACAAAGCTTACTAAACATACTAGAAGGGAGTGATGTTTTTTTTGATCATCGAAATGGCAGCGCACTGCCAACTGTTAAACCTACACGGGAATCAAAGCCGTTCCATAATCGCCTTCGCATTACCTTGAGATGAATACTTACGTATGCTTAAACCAAACTACATCATTCTACATCCCTCGCCATCGCCTGATCTTTAGGTATTGGATGGCGCCTTCGTGTGGCTTTATATCCAAGCATGTCTTGTATTTCTTTCATCTCTCGGTGTCCATTAACATGACCGTTAGCAGGTTACACGACGTAATTTCTACTTCAAAAGATTTGAAAAGCTTGCATCTCGAATATACCCGAATCAGACAGACGGAAATAGTATGGTGTGTATCGTCGTTTAGGCCGTGACACTGGTCGCATTCCTTACCTGCTCGTAAGTTGAGGTAGCGTAAGCAACTCGCAAA